ATGTGTCTGCTGCTTCTCTGTCCCATGCACATGCCAGAGCATGCAGAACCAGGCACAGGAGACAAAGAAAGGCAGGACAGAGAGTTTGGATGTGTAGATTTGAGCATGCATAATCAGTCAGGTGAATTTGGTTCTAGACTGAGTCTGTGCTTATATCCTTAGATTCCTAAGGCAGATCTCCCTTTTATCATTGGTATTACGTGTTCTCAGCAGGTGTTAGCCTGTTTAGTTTGGGTCTTCAGGTCATTTCAAGTGTGAGGCTAAAAGTTCATAGTCTCACACAGCCTTTGTTCTTCTAAGCCAGTTGTATTGCAGTTAGCATCTTGCCACCATTCACATCCCCTACTCACAGTTGCATGGCTGTGGAGGAGAAACCGTGTACAGAAGGACCTGTGTCATGGTTCACATTCAGTGCTGGCCCTTTCTCTTCCTCCCACTTCTTTACCTTGTAAATGGGAGCAGGATTTCCCATTCATCCAGGCATTTCTTGGGGAAAGTGTGGACCGCAAGGTGTTTTTGCTATCTCCTTGGGCTGAGTCCTACAGCTGTTATTTGGTCAGTTGCAGGCAGCCCAAAAGCAGTCTGCACACCGTAGTTGGCAGGATTCGAACCTGCGCGGGGAAACCCCAATGGATTTCTAGTCCATCGCCTTCACCACTCGGCCACAACTACCTGCTCCAGCCCTCTCTGCCCTGAGGATCACATGCCCTGTGCAATGACACTCGGTTCCCTGGGAGGTTCAGGGCAAAGGCTTCACTTTAAGCTCTGCATTTGAGACCTCCACTGAGCATGACAAGGACCTGGTGCCAGGCTTCCAGAGGCCTTGAGAGGAGTAAGCTCAAGAGATATGGCTGCAACTCCCAGCACCTTGTCCTCACTCGAGCATCTGGGATATCCTTCCACAGGGGGGATGATTTCACTCCCCAGCTGGTCTCAACTGTTCCCAGGGCATAAGGGAAGGCAATTGTGTGGAGCCAAACAGAAACACTGGTAACTGTGGGGTGGGATATTAGACCCTGCTTAGCTTCTTAAATTTATCCAAGGGAGACTCCAAGCCTATTACAAGCACTAGAGTGGCAACAATCCTGCAGGGAAGATGGTGACCTCCCGGCAGCCCCTACAGCCTCTTGGGGATGTAGGGTGGTATCAACCTTTCAAAGACCATGACTGTCATGCAGGTTGTTGTGTAGGGGGAATGACTTGTAAGGGTGGGAGAGATCTATGGAAAAGGCAGGGTAGATCCTGGCTGAGGAGAAGTGAGGAGAGGAAAGGGGAGGTCATGGGTGACTTGGCAGAAGACAGGAGAGAATTTATTTTGGTGGAATAGGCATGTCTAGACCTTTTTTTCAGCAACTGGCAATGGATGTCCAATGACTGAGCAGGAACCAGAAAGGCAAATGACCTGCAGAAATGATTATTTCATCCAGCTTCGTCCAGCTACCTACTGGACGAAGGTAGCTCTGGTTCTCTTTTAACTATGGAGGAAGAATATTTGTAAAATGGTGTTAAGGACTCAGTATGGAGGTGATGCATCTGGCAATGTCTGTTGTTGGGGAATTTTTATTGCACCCCTTGAGGTGAATTAAATATATGTTTGAGCTTAAATATAAAGATTTTATGAGCAATGCTTTGGACAGAGTCCTACCGTCATAAGATTCTCTACATGGAGTCTGCAAAGATGCAGCATGAACTGTTTCCTTATATACAGTTGCACCAGCACCCATTGTATCAGGCACCTCAGCCTGGCATTGGGTACATTCTCTGGCTGCTCAAAGGTGGCTCCTGAGCACTCGCATTCCAGGATTCCTGCAAGACAATATTGCCATAATTCTTATCTCATCAGCAAGGGAAATCTCACTCCTTTACAGAGAGTCCTTCTGTCTCTGGCATTCCTTTACCCAGCCAGTTCTGCAGTTAGTCCTTCTCACCCTCCATGCCAGATCATTCATTGGTCAAAATTCGCCATTGCTGAGCAGTTGCAATTTGAATTTACCTATCATCCCTCCCTTTTGTGAGTAGTAACTACTCACAGAAACAATTGCAAGTGATTAAAATTTCTTTATATGCTTACTATCTATTTTCATTTCCCATAATATTGTTTCATCTCACTTCTCTTTGCTCTTTCCTTTTTCTGTTTACAGATGATTTTCAGGCATCTTCTGAAAATGATATTCTAGACAGTGCATCTTCTTACAAATAATCAACTCCTTTTTAAAATAAATTGTGCTGACTGGCCAGACCATTAGCTGCAAATGGGGTTTTTTTAAACTATTGAGGCCTGCAAGGGCCTATGAGACTTTTTTGAGGCTTGTAGTCTCAAACCATATTTCTCTTAAAGATCTTGACTATGTTAGAAGGGTTGCAGACTAATGGGAGCCCAGGATCAGTCACCATGTGGGCTGTGCTGTCCCATCACCCATTCTTGCCTCTAGATTTTATGGTAATCTATAGCCATTAGTAAAAGAATTTATTTCTTTTCTTCTTCCTTATTCTCTAATATATTCAGCATTGTTGTTCTGGTCTCTGCTTGAACCATGCCTTGTTCTGTCCTTTCACATACCAATTTGCTACAACATAAGAACAGTTGAACCAAATATATACACGAGCATGAAAGTTATTAATCTAACAAAATAGACTTTAGTGCTATCTTAAGCACTTTTTCCTCACCATCATTCTCTGTTTGGGAGTCATTCCCACCAGTCAAAAGTCTGAGGTTTTGGGTTTTCTTTTGGTTTGTTTCTGTTTTTTTCCCCCCTCCAAGTATATCATGCAGTATCTGAAGTTTACCTTGAGTTTCATGTATATCCATTTCTATTCTCTGATCTTGGTGTTAACTAATACACATACACTTCCCTGAGGGATGAGTACATAATCTAATGCTATGCTGTTTTGCAAGGCTACCTGAGATGCTTGTTCTATCTCTAACTGCAGGGCTGAAATAGTGTTAACTGTAGCATTACTCATCTCTTCTGTTACAGCAGATACATTTATGATAGCCTTTTCTAATTCTGATACTCCTACCCAGGGGAGAAAAGTCTAAGCAAACTGGTGGAAGCCAGTTTGTCAAATAACAAGTGTATTTTGCACAGAGCACTTTGTTTGGTACTTTGGGGTAAGTTGTGTCTATCAGGTTTGGAAGCTTTGAGATGGCAGGAAGAAAAACCCATCCCTACGTACCAATGCCAGTCCAGTTAACAGGCAGCATCTTATAGGTCTTAGAGCCTCATATTCCTCACAATACTTCATTACCTAAGGCCGTATGATAGAATAATTCTTACAGGCTAGTATATGACCAGTAATAATATAAATCCAAATGTGAAATCCCAGAGCAAATCTGTAATTTCCAAAAAAAATTGACAGGTTCAGTGATGTCAGTCACTTCCATATCATCAAAGTCTATTTGGAGGTTGTTTTTCTATTGACATTTTAGCAAAGGAAGTTCATCTAGATCAGCTCTGCTGTGACAGGTGATACACTGTTTTGTGTCTGAAGCTAGTGTCACTGTTTTACTCTGGGAAACATGGATCTAGTTGAGCAGGTCCTTGCACTTCACCATTGTATTGGTAATTACCAGTACCTGCTAAGTTCCCTTACAGCACAGCTGAAGTGCATTTTTTCTCTAGTATACCTTGATGTAGACCCAGTGTCCTGGTTTCATGCAGTGACAGACTTCAGGGGAAAGATGTATAGATGTAGCACAAGTCTATTCCTTACATACACTTCCACAAGCATTGATCATGTGAGCATCAGCATTAGGTGCCTTCTGCCAATTCTCACCTCTGTTGAACCTCATCTCTCGCTCTCTCTCTTGGTCTCCTTATTTGGCCACATCAGGAGCTGGGCTAGGACTGCAACCAAGAGTGAGGATATCTGGCTAATGGCACTTAGTATGAGCTACAAGGTGAGAAATGGGAGAGGTAGTAAGTTATACAGGCAGATTGACAGGCTGTCCAACACAGAGGTTAAGGGAGGCAGCAGTAGAGACCACAAGTGCAAGCATTGAATCATTCATTGCTGGGCCATGAATGTACTCTGTGATGTGCAACATTGAAGAGGTTACACTGGAAACTTCATAACCAGGTCTAACTAGGTGAAAACAAGATTTTCACAGGTTACCAACATGGGTCTTGTAAGACAGGGCCTGCCAGGCTTGTGCAAAGAGCCCTGCTGCTCCTTTGAAAGTAGAGAATGCTCCGTGGCCCTAAAGGAAGGCTGCAGTCGGTGATGACCAGGGAGATGGAGAGACTGTCAGGCTCAGACAGCACATGTGGCTCATCAAAGGTGGCCACAGGGGAAAGACAATGTTTGTTTAGGAGGTCCCATGGTGTAATGGTGAGCACTCTGGACTCTGAATCCAGTCATCTGAGTTCAAATCTCAGTGGGATTTTAATCTTTTTACTCCCTCCAGGCTTTTATTAGTATACTTAGTCCTTTTCCACTTTTCTTCTTAGTCTGCCATGGTGTCCAGCCCATTTGCTTCCACAAAGTCATGGTAACTCCTTCTACCACAGAAGCCTCCAATGCTGCTGCTTCCTGAAGGACACTGCAGGGAGGACACTTTATGCCCTCTCTTCCAGGCTTCAGTGGGCAGCCAGAGATCTCTCAGAGCTGCCCAGCACCTGAGACCTGCAGCTCAGGCTGGGCTGACCCATATAGGAGGTCAGGTGACTCCAGGGCCCTGAATTCTTACAGCTGTCCCTGAAGACCAGATCTGACCCATTTCCCCAGGTCTCCTTGTCAGGGATCCAGCCTCTGCCAGAGGGTTTCCATCAGGGCTGCTCCCCTAGATGGCTGAGCACGCATGGATTACAAGTAGCAATAAATCTCAAAGACTCAGCCCTACTGGTCTGAGTCTTCCATGTCCAGACACTTGCCTGCTTCCTCCTTGACCTTTCTTCAGGTTCTGATTTTGAGGATGGGACCAGCAAGGCTGTTGTTCTCCCCCAAAGTTGTAAAGACCTTCCTGAGGTCTTTCAGGCTGATGGCAAGCCTGTGGCTTGTCCATATGCCTCTGGCTTTGCAGGCTTTTGGGAACCCAGTTGGGCTGAGATGGGGGTCATACAAAGGTGTCTCCTGGGAGCCAAAGCTTGGGACAACTTCCAGGGCTTCACTTGGATACCGACAGGGAAGAGGGATGGAGTAGATGGGCAAAACCCACACCACTCTCATCCTCAGTGACATTTGCTGGAAGGCATAGCACTATCAGGACCTTGTGCAGCCCCCCCAGGAGCCTTGGGCATTGCAGGGCTCTGGAGGAGCTCAGCAGTGCCAAGCCCTCCCTTCCCACCGTGTAATGACCAGGCCAGAGGCTCTGCCTGGGATCCAGGTACAGGCCTGGCACCAATCACTTCTCCAGGGATAAGCCACCAGCATCCCCAGGCAGAGGCGTGTCTTAAAACTGGGGCTCTGGTAAAAGCTGGTGATGAAGAGCCAATACAAGTTGTCTCAGTCTCCAGTCTTAATTTTCTCATCCTGGAAAAGAGCACAGTGAGACACACAAAAAGTTACACAAGTTTCTTATACCAGAGCATAAAATTAATTTCAGTTCTCAGATGTCATTGTGACCAGTACCTCCTACTCCTAACCCCGGATACGCCATCTGGTTGGGCAGGCAGCCTTTAGCAGTGGGTCATGTCCTCCCTTCTCCTTTGAAGAGGTCCTCAGCACCCAGGACAGTCAGGATGACACATGCTTGATTCTACTAACATTCTACCAAGGATCCCTGAAAGGAGTGCTTGTCCCCATTGTATTGCATGACACTATTCAAAAGAAGATGTTCTGTGGTTAAATATGGAACCGTGGACTTTTTTAGGTTTTACAAGTGGTGAATGAGGTTAAAGAAATTGTGTATGGTAACAGCTGTTCAGATATGAATGTTAATATAGAACTTTTGAGTTAATTTCTCAGTCTCTTAACTGTTATTTGCAAACTTAATATGAAAAACAGTCATGACACTTCTCTCTTTCAGAGAAGTTGTAGGAATAAATTCCAGGGGATGAATATGGAGGGGAAAGGAGGCAGGCACTGTTTTTCAGGTCTGGACATAGGCAGCGTGCCTGCAAGATGGGGTTAAGGTCAGCATTTCAGTAGGGAACAGAGCATGCACATTTGTGATCCCCTTTTTGTAACTCCACCTGCTTGTAGCATTGTCGATGATAGAGTGGGAGTCTGTAAATTCTGCACTAACCCAAACCCCGTGTATGACTCCACAACCCAGATTGGTGTTTCAACTCTCAGCATTTTTTATTTTTTTTTTAATGCAACCATGGATTCAGAGGATTGAGAAACTTTGTTTCCTTGAGGTAGTGAGTCTAGTTGAGAGAGGCTCTTTGTGTTTCCTCTGGTCCACAGGCCATAAGCTGCAAGAGAAATGAAGGTGTTTTACTAACTACTTTATAATCAAAAGGGAATTGAGAAGACTTTCATACAGTGTTAGAAATCATGTATTTGCAGAGAGGTTTTCTTTTTTTCTACCCACTCAGGAATTAAAGCTCCTTCACCAGTGATGAGAAAATGCCCTGTACAATCCAGTCCCACCCATACAAACGCATTTTCCCTTCCAATTACCCACACCTGTTATTTCTTCTGCATTACCCCTCTTTTTCTGCACAGGTTTAGCAAGCCTTGGAAGGCACGGATTACGGTTGCTTTCTGGTTTGGAGATGAAGGTTCCATTTGTCAGGCTGAACTGCTGGTGAAATAGCATTTGGAGGGTGAGTAGCTGAGCTCGTATAAACTGAAAACTCCATGGATGTTCTCTTGCTGCCATCCCATGGACATTTTGGGTATTCCCATTTCGGTCTGCAACAACTGAGACAAAATTCTTCAGGGAGAATTTCTCAAAGTACTGCTGACTTCTTGCTGCACCACCTCTTAGAAGGTTTCAGGGAATGCTTTTGTCTGTCATAAAGTACTATTTCATTGTTCAGAAAAGGAATACACTGCAGTAGATTACAGGGAAGCGGAAGGGAAGAGAGGGGGAAGAGAGAAGGAGGAGGACAATGGATAGGGAATGGAGTGATTAGCTCAAGTGTGTTTTCAAAGCATTCCAGATTAGTGACATGTTTGTGTCTTTGCCCACTGGATATCCTAAAGCTCCCACCCTCAGTGTTGTGGGAATGCACTGGTCCATTGTTGTTAGTGCTCCTGACAGAGTCTGGAGGGGCTTTGTACCATGCCAAGGTATCTTAATGCAAACACCTGGGTTGGGGCAATCCCAAGCACAAATACAAGCTGGGCAGACAATTAATCGAGAGCAGCCCTGAGGAGAAGGACTTGGGGGATGACGGTGGACAAGAAGCTAAACATGAGCTGGCAATGCACACTCACAGCCCAGAAGGCCAATAACCACATCAAGAGAACTGTGGCCAGCAAGTCGAAGAAAGTGATTCTTCTCTGCTCCAATCTGGTGAGACCCCACCTGCAGTGCTGTGTCCAGCTCTGTGGTCCCCAACATAGGAAGGACATGGATCTACTGGAGTGAGTCCAGAGGAGGCCATGAGGATGATCTGAAGGCTGGAGCACCTCTCCTACAAGTACAGGCTGAGAGAGTTGGGGCTGTTCAGCCTGGAGAAGAGAAGACTTCGGGGAGACCTTCTAGAGGCCTTTCAGTACCTGAAAGGGGCCTACAGGAAGGCTGGGGAGGGACTTTTTTCAAGGACAGAGAGTGATAGTACAAGGAATAATAGCTTTAAACTGGAAGAGGGGAGATTTAGCTTAGGTGTTAGGAAGAAATTCTTTTCTGTGAGGGTGGTCAGACACTGGAACAGGTTACCCAGAGAAGTTATGGATACCCCTTCTCTCACAGTGTTCAAGGTCAGATTGGATGAGGCTTTGAGCAACCTGGTCTAGTGGCAGGTGTCCCTGCTGATGGCAGGGGGGTTGGAACTAGATGATCTTTAAGGTCCCTTCCAACCCCTACCATTCTATGACTTTATGACTCTATGATTCTGGAGATAACCTCTCAGTCACAGGTCTGAGTGCTCATGTGTGACTTGAACCAGCCTAGTATGTACTGGAAGGGCAAGATGCCTGGGCACAAGCAGTCCGGGCACTTGCTGGAATCTATTAAAGACAATTGCGTTATGCATGTGCCTGAGAAACCAAATAAGGAAAATTCTCTGTTGGATCTTTGATGCACAAGCTAGAAGTGATGGATGAGAAAGCTGAGGGCAGCCTTGGTGGAAGTGACAATGAAACTATGGAGTCAGAGAGACTAAGAGTGGTGAGCAAGACCAACAGTAAGTAGAATTGCAACTCTGCAATACAGAAAGGCAGAAAGCACCCGGGAGGGCAAAGGGGCCTGGGATAGCTGCTTGATCTTCAAGGACAGCCTCCACAGAGCACAAGAGCAGTCTAATTTAGCATGCAGAAAGTTGAGTAAGGATAAGGCCCACATGGATGTATGTGACACTCCTGACTGAGCTAAGACAGCAAAAAGAAGTACACAGAAGGTGGCAACAGAAGAGAACTCATGTGGGAGGTCTATGAAAGCAACCACTGACGTATGAAGAAATAGTTTAAGGCAAGCCAAAGGTCCCAATACAACAAATTCAGGGCTTGTGTGAAAGCAAAGGAGCTGTTGGCAGAAGTAACACCTGGTTCTGCCAGCATGGTGCCTCCACAGATACTACTGGGAGAAGCAGGAGCCTCTAAGTACAAGGTGCCTATCAGGTAAGGGAAAAAGTCACACCATGGATTTTGAGGCCTGGCAGAAGAGAGGTTGTGTAGGATCCCCAGGTGAGATGAGAGTAAGCTGTGTACAAAGGCTCCTGGGGTGGTGAAGGGGCCAAGGGTTGAAGAAGTTGGGTGTAAGGTCCATGGTGCACATTGTTACCATTTGTGCTTATTTTCCCATTTATTTTTTGTTTTCTTTTCCACACCAATACTTTATGAATGAAAGCCAAACCATAAAAATATTCTTGCTCTATTCTAAGGACAGTGTTAGGATGGGAAGAGACAGGAAAAAAATGATATTTTGCCTGGAAAAATATTTGGGCAAAAAGATGAATTGTTTTGGGGTTGTGGAATACCTCTTCTATCTGGCCATTCTCCTGGGTTGGAACTAGATGACCTTTAAGGCCC